AGAGGGAGGGGAAGGAAAGAGGGAGGGGAGGGGAAGGAAAAGAGGGAGGGGAGGGAAAGGAAAAGAGGTAGGGGAAGGAAAGGGGGAGAGGAAGGGGGAGATGAAGGGAGAGAGGAAGGGAGAGAGGGGAGGGAAAGGGGGAGGAGAGAGAAGGGAAGGAGAGAGGTAGGGAGAGAAGGGGAGGGGAGAGGAGGGGAGGGGAGGGGAGGGGCTTCACAGAACTCAACTTCCTGATATGAGTGGTCAGAAAGCACCAAGAAACAATGAATAGCCTTAGAATAAACTCTCCAGGGCTTGCTAGGACACTCTACCCTATGAGAGACTGAGTCTCCATTTCTACTCCTCAGGTCTCGATGGCCCCATCTTGTCTTCAATGACTTAGTGAGAGATAACTCAGCAATTTCGGAGGGAATCCATGTAATCCTTTGTTACTTCTTGTACAAACCGACCTTGTGACAGAGGCTGACTTACCCCGAGGGCTTGCAGTGCTCCTCTTTGAACATCACGTGATCCATCCAGGAGCTGATAACCAGACCCATCAGTCTCCTCTTGGTTCACGTGACCTGCTGAGGTTCCCAGTCCTGCATTATCCAATCCCTGGGAGGCCATTTGGGGCTGCTTGTGGCTGTCCTGGGAAAGAACTCAAAAGCTTGATGCTCCCTTCTATCACTTTCTAGTAATATTTTTTAGTGTAACAGGAAATTTCTGTTTTGTTCATTCATCAAGATAACTCTCCTGAGTGACAGGATTCATAACCTGCTCTGTTCCTTTCTACCCTAGAACTGTTCCTTTCACAAAGCAACCCCTCCCTCCCCATTACAACTTGGCTTGGATAGTACCTCTCTTTTCCCAAACCAAATTCCAGCCCATGAGTCAAACTTCCAAGAAACTCCTTTTAGTCCTGGCCCCGTCTGAATGATGAACCATTTCTGCCTCCTCTGGGAATCCACTCAGCACCTCTTTAACATTCCTCAGTCCGAGTTTCAATTTTCAAGGTGTGTGCTTGTGTCTCTCTGTGTGCTCATCATCCTTACTCTGCTGTCCCACTGTCTCAAGGTTGGTACCCAGCTAACACACACTTCAGAAACAGCCATGTCTAAGGATAATAATAGAAAATCCATCAGCAGGCACCAGGTCTTTTTATGACTTGGAGGGAAGAAAACGTAGTCTGACACATTGACTTTTTTTTTTTTAGAAAGGATCAAAGATGAGCTTCCGCCTCCAGATAAAGCAAATTATGTTCTATAAAATATGGTCAGTTAAGCTTTCTTGAAAATCAAGAAAACATAGGCTTCTTCACATCATATTGAGTAGCTCACCTCCCCAGCTCTGATTGAATAGCCGGAGTTCTTCTGGCTGTTTTAGTCATATCATCTCTCAGGACATCCATTGGAATGGGTATTGTCCTTATGACCCTTTCCATCTTACACATTAGATGGGGAAGCTAAGAAACAGAGAATCAAATAACATCCCCAAGTCCACCAGGCAGGAATCAAAGAAGCTATGGTTCAAAATATGTCTCTAGTTATCACTACAGTCTTCCCTGAGCCTGTGCAGGAACTGTCTCACCAGACCTCATTCATAGTTCAGGAGTGTCCTCTCATAACCAGAACTGGCCACCAAACTCAGAGGCAGCCTCTTAATATATCAAGGTGTGTGTGTGTGTGTGTGTGTGTGTGTGTGTGTGTGTGTGTGTGTCTGTCTGTCTGTCTGTCTGTCCATGTCTATGTCTGCATTTTCCAAATAAATAGCTATATTATGCCAAAAATAATGGCACCCAGGGTAGCATCTGCATTCTAAGGGCAGTCATCTATACATCTAAAAATTCCAAACCTTTACTGAGCAACCAAATAGAAAACATTTATGCATCCCAAGAAGGCCATCAGGAGGCACCATTAGCAGACAGAAATGAAAGAAGGATTCCTATGGAGTTAGGAGCCTGTAGGGTTTACCTTGGAGACTTCAGGCTTTGACAGACTCCTTTCCTTGCAAGTCCATCTCGTTACAGAAGAGGAATCAGTCTGTCCCCAAAAAAACAGCCGTCTTTTCTTCCTCAGGTTTAACGAATATCTTCCTTGTGCAATACCTCAGCAGATCCAGTGGAAGTGTTTCTGCTGGCTGCCTGGAAGGTGTGCTAATCCTACCCGTATTTGAGGGCACCAATGACCCATCCACTTCCCCAAGGCTCACCCATAAAGAAGGAAGCTGGTATCAGGAACCACCACCCTCTGGCTCTAAGATGTTGCTTCACACATCAATGGAGCAAGAAGTAGAAACAGAAAATATGGGTAGGTCGGTGGGAAACTATTGTGGAATGGAGGAAGAATAGGTCTGGCTATGTAATGAAAAGTGAAGGCAGGCAGAACAAGTAGTGTTGGAATGAGGGACATACCAGGACTACTAAGGGACTGTGTTTACAAAATGCACCGGTGATGGATGTTACTGAAATTATTTTACATGCATGATAATGTTTAATCCTCTCAGGCCAAGCAAGGTTAGTTCATTTGTCATAAATTAAAGCAATGGTAATTTAAATATATTATGTTTACTATATATCATCTGCTGCTTGCTGTTCAGTTTGCTTAATGGGCATCAATTTCTTCTAGCCTCAGGATAACCCACGACCTAGATAACACTCCTAAGTCAATGGGATGGAAGATAAAGCTGGCATAGAAAAGATAAACAGATTCCCTCACATTTAACCAGCTATATTTGTCCATTGCCTGATGATATAAGGGAATACCACTGACCGGGGTGAGCTATTAAAAATACAAGTTGATTTGCCTCATGGTCATAGAAGCTGATTAGTCCAGTGCCAGAACATTGGCACCTGCTGGGGTCCTTCATGCCATGTCACAACAGAGTAAGAGTGAGGGAGAACATGTGAAAGAAAACAGAGGATGGGCGCTCATAATGAATCATCTAAGATCAGCTGGGAAATGAAATATGACTGAGTACTTCCGTGAGGTTCCATTGAAGCTTAACTTGGAATACAAATCCTGAATATGGGATTCAACATCCCATGGTCTGAGGCCCTGGGCTGGATGAAAAGTAGAGAGTGCTGAGCGCCAGCATTCATCTCTCTCTCTCTCTTTCTTTCTCTCTCTCTCTCTCTCTCTCTCTCTCTCTCTCTCTCTCTCTCTCTCTGCTTCCTGACTTCAGAGAGTGTAAGCAGCCTGATGTCACAGATAGAGCAGCCCTTGTCACCATACCTCCTTTGGCATTTGACCTTCAGATTGTGGACAGAGATAGAACTTTCCTTTCCCAAGGTGATTTTATCTGGTATTTTGTCACAGCAGTAAGAATAACTAACAGAGTCCAAACTCCATCTTCTATTAGGACCTACTTCTGCTTATACCTCACTCCCATGATGCTGTTGATCATGGCATCAGCCATGTCCTATGATCTGGGAGTGCTAGGATGAATGATGGTCCTCCAGTGCCTTGCCTTGACTCCCTGTACCCTTTTGGGCATTATTTGAAGCTTTGGATTTCTCAGGTTGGGGCCCTGTACCTGCAGCCCTCCAAGGCTAGAAGTCAAGTGGTTTCTGTATGGTGGGAATGGCTTGTTCCCACAGTCTGGCCTCCGTGAGGGCTTTATGCCTATACATTTCTGCCTAGGTCTCCATAATGTCTGAAACATTCTTTTAAAATGGCCTCATAGCTCTTGCGTCTTACACACCTAGAGAATTGGTGACCTATGGGCTGTACCAAGGTTCACAGCTTGCACCTTCTCTGAAGCAGGCTAACCCACACCTCGGCTTACTTAAGCCATGGATGAAACATCTGAGCAGTGCTGTTCTAGAATATTAGGAGTGGAGTTCTAGGGGCTATGTCAGGGAGCACTTGGAGGCCATCTCCCAAAGCATTCTGTTCTTCTAGAGCTCCAGGCTTGAAAAAGAAGCCTTGAGGAGCTCTGAAATCCCTCTTGGACTTTTCTCTCATTGCCTATGATCCCTCTGTCTATGCTAATCTTGGACCCTTAGCTACACACATGACTTTGTATTCTTCACCTGGCCATTCTGTAAATATTTTCAACTCCTTCCATTTTGGTTTCTTTTTTTCAATTACAAATTCCACATTGAGCTCTTTCCTTCTTGAACCTCACTCTCTGTTGTTAAAATGATCACATGGCAGTTGGAATACGCTTACATTCTATATCCCATAAAGTCCTAGGATACAAACAACCCCTTTTAATGACAGGGTTTCATGTAGTTCAAGCTAGCCTCAGCCTCACTGTAGAGGCAAGGACGCCCTTGAACTTCTGAGCCTGCCCCCTCCCCAAGGTCTCAGATTACAAGCACGCATCTTCATGCTTGGTTTACATAGTTCTGGGGATGAAATCCTGGGCTTTGTGCATAGTAAACAAGCACTCTACCAAATACACCTCCAGTTCATGCATGGAATCTTGCCAACTTTTTTGCAGCTATATAAAAATTTGCCGGGCGGTGGTGGCGCACGCCTTTAATCCCAGCACT